GTAGAGTGCTATGGCATCACAGCTCACAGCAACCTCCAACTCCTGGGCTTAAGTGATTCTCTTGCCTCAGCCTCCCGAGTAGCTGGGACTATAGGCACCCACCACAAGGCCCGGCTATTTATTTGTTGCAGTTTGGCTGGGGCTGGGTTCAAATCCACTACCCTTGGTATACGGGGCCAGCACCCTACCCCCCAGGGCCACAGGCAGCGCCCCCTTAATCACATTTTTAAACAAATATTTAATAAGTGCCTTGTATGTGCCAGGTCATTTGCTAGATGTTAAGGATCCGGGGTGAACAAGACAGGTGACAGCCCCAGTCCTCAGCGAGCTAATGATTTATAAGAATGAAAGACACTGAACCCACAACTTCAAGTGTGATGGGTATTACCAAAGAGAAGTGGGAGACTTAATAATCAAGGGGAGTCAAGGAGGGCTTCCCCCAGGGGAGTTTCAGCAGAGGCAGGAGTAGGAGCAAGGCCAAAGGAGAAGAGTGATGAAGGGTTACAGGCTAGAAGAAAAACAGACGGGAAGGCCCTAAGGAGACAGAACTGGGAGTGGAAAGTGGCAGGGCTTTAGGCAGAGGTGCTCAGGACGGGGATACGAAGGGAAAAACTGGTTCCTTGCACTACCCTTCTGTCCCACTAGATGTCCTTCGAAGTACATCCTGCCTCCTGCTTCCCCCATCCCTGCCTCCTTAGAAATGCAACAGCAGTCTCACTCCTCAAGAGCAAAGGAAAAGACCAAAAGGAGACAGGCTCAGAGGCTTTCCTAACCGTGTGGTCTTGCCATAAATTTAGACTGTGGCTTGGAAAAAAATGAAAAACCTTCCCTTCATAGACTTCCTTCTTCCCATCCCCCCTCCCCCGGCCATCGCTTTGTTCCTCTAGCCTTCTAAAATTTTCTGTGTAAAACAGGAACATCAGCCAAACATGTGGACTTCCCCCTTTCCATTCATTAGAAGAATGCATTACTTGAAGATCTCCTGGGAGCATTTAAATGCAAATTTGGTCAAGAAAGCAACTTGAGTCTGAGGGAAGCCTTCTAGCCACAATCCAAACCAGAACTTTCTTCCATGATTTCTGTTTCTTTCTTTTTTTAAAAAATTTATTTCTGTGTTTCTTAATGGCAATCTCAACCCCTTGCTTTCTCTACCCACACCAACCCATCATCCCCCGTGGATCTTCTCTGATTCCCAGGGTAGATTCTTTCTCTTCTGGTCCCTGTTCTTTCCTCACCTTGGGCAAGCATCAGTCATAAATTTTGAGAAGCCTACTTACAAAGTAGCACATGTAGGGGCCCAAGAAGGGGATTGAGGGACTTTTCTATTTAGTGTAATGAAAATGGGGAGGCAGATGTTTGTATGGGGGCGAGGGTGGAGGTGTGAGTATGTGTGATTTGTGTCTGGGCCTTCTTAGCACTGCTGGTATAAAATAATATAGGAAATGCAGATGACTCAGCATGGATACAGTCAGGATCCCCAGAGTTAGCATTTCTATATTCTCTGCTGTTTACAAAAAATGTGCTTGTGCCATCAATAACCAACTCCTTTATACTGCATTTTCTGACTTTTATTTATTTTGAAAAAATACAGACCTCAAACTTACTTTGTAAGCTGGGCTTCTTTTTGTAAACTGAGCTCATTAGCAGCTGACACCAAAGTGTAAACTAGTTTGTTTTTTTTTTAATTTCAGATTAATGTGAGGGTCCAAACAATTAAGTTACATTGTTTGCATTTGTTAGGTAAAGTCCAAGTTGTAGTTGAACCCCTCACCCTGGGGGTGCATGCTGTGTACCTTTACACTGTGCCCATTAGGTGAGAGTTTACCAATCCCCAATCCCCTTTCCTGCTCACTTCTCCTCACTAGTTTTTTTTTAATACACAAGATTAAACTGGAAGGAAATGAACATTTGTTAAGCACACAGGATTAAACTGGAAGGAAATGAACATTTTTCCAAGGATCCTCCCTGTCCTCTTTCAGGCCCTTCTCTGAATGATTTCCATGCTTAGAACTTGGGCAGGTCAGCAAAACTTGATGGAAAAGGTATGATTAATGACTTGCTCATCCAATTTCTGATCATGGTGTGATGTGGAAACAACCAACAAGTAGCATCATTTCTTCTTCCTGTTATTAACCTGCTGAGCATTGACCATATACTTGGCACTACTCACAGGTATAAAAATACAATCCTTCCTGAAGGGTTAAGAAACACCTCTTTTAAAGTCTTAAAAGTGGAAATTCAAACAGAAGCCCAGGTCCCAATTTTGGCTGCTCAATGTCTTATGAATTCTTTTATTTATTTTTTTTAGCAATGGGGTCTCACTCTGTTGCCCAGACTAGAGTGCAGTGGCTCCATCTTATCTCACAGCAGCCTTCTGGGGTCAAACAATCCTCCTCCTGTCTCAGCCTCTGGAGTTGCTGGGAGTATAAGCCAGGTGTGGGCCACCGTGCTAGGCTAAATGAAAAAAAAAATTTTTTTTTTGAGACAGTCTCACTATGCCCCGCTCTGTGGAGTGCCATAGCATCTCAGCTCACAGCAATCTCAAACTCTTGAGCTTAAGCGATTCTCTTGCTAGGCCCATATTGTGAGATCAGTCTAATTCCAGATTTTGTAAAAAAATCAAGCTAACAGAGGGAGGATAATGGCTGAAGGGGAGGTAGAGGTGGGCAAAAAGTGTCACTAGAGTTCCTCATTCACTGCTTTTGGCCCCAGAGCACTTGAGGAATACTGGGATCAAATGATACACACTGAATGGAAGCCCAGATGATGTTGGGAACTCTCTCCTCAAAATGGTTCCAAATAAAGCTCTATCCATATTTACCAATTTCCTTTCTTCTCCCCTGATGACAGAGAATTACTGGCTTTCCCTTTCTTCTCTAACCAGTTATGCTCCAGAATCCTTTCTTTGTTCCGTAACGGTCCGGGTTCAGTCTCAGGTTCCCACATTTCTCCTTTTTTGCTCTAAGTCTCTCTGTTCAAATGCTGTCACAGTTTAATATCTACCCCTCACAGATTTATGTCCTTCCAGCTCTCCTCTTATTCACCCCAAGGTACAGTCAGAATCCTGTTTTCCTTCCTCCTTCTGTTGTCATTTCTCAGGCTCTGACTCCTTGCCCTGGTTTACATCATGGTGCTGAGTCTAGTTGGGTTTCTTCTGTTTCTGGAAAAACCCTTTGTTCCTGGGATTCTTTGTGGTCTCAGCGTCCCCTTTGGCCTCACCCTGCAGCCCTGTCTGGAGCTTGCCCTTGTCCTCGGTCTCCCCACGTCCAGCCCCGGCAGCTGAGGCATCCTGTCTTTTGCTGTCTGCCTTCCCTTCAGTTTCTCTAGGTCCTTCCCCGGCAGCCGCACAGGCCCAGCTCGGTTTCTCTCCAGCCAGGGGGCTCCCTCCTTTGTCCCGGCTCCGGGTGTAGGTCACCGCCGCCCGGGGCTGCCGCCCACCTTGTGGGGTCTGCGGGGGTCTCCCCGCCGCCCGGGCCGGCCCGCCTTTCCCGCTGACGCGCCGGGACCTCCTACCCGGCCGGACTCCCGCGTGGGAGCCGGGGCCC